TCTCAAAAGGTCTGTCCCACTGCAAATGTAAAAAAAAAATGTTTTGAGGTTGGGAGCCATACTAGGAATGCCAGCATTTCTCAATTCTAATAAGATTACCTGGTCCAAAGTTTATTTTCCAGGAATCTGTATGGGAACAAACTAGGCCCTCTATCCAGATACTTTTTCATGTCAGCTCTGGTTCTGGCTCTCATCCCTATGTCTGACATGGAATCAATTTTTGTTACAAAGGGCTTAGGCACAAAACTCCATTAACCATACTTAGCATATTACCTCACTTATTCATTCACTTATTTATTCATTCATCAAATAGTTGAGTCTACAGAGGACAGAGGACAAGGCAAGAAGCAAGCCAATTCAGGCAGCTGGACCCTAGAGACACAGTGGAGTGGAGGCAAGGGATGGGTGGGGCTGAACTGAGAAAAGACTGGTTGAAAATCTAAGAAGCAGTTGGACCTCTCAATCCCCTGAAGATTCTGCACAGCCAGGTCACCCCTCCACTCAGGCTGATGGCTAGAGGTTCCCCCTCTACAAAGATGTATCAGGGCAACTTAGCGTCAAAATTACCAGGATATGGCTGAAAACAGAAAAAAGAGGCAAAAACAAGATTATGTGAAAGTCTGTGGACCAAAGTAAAAGGCCTGTACCTTGCCGCCATCACTCCTAACAACATGGTTTTATTTTTTTTGTTTTTTTAAATATATCTTTACTGATTTCAGAGAGAGGAAGGGAGAGCGGGGGAGAGAGAAGTCAATGATGACAAAGTAGTCATTGATCGGCTGCCTCCTGCACACTCCTGACTAGGGGTCAAGCCCGCAACCCAGGCATGTGCCCTGACCGGGAATCCAACCGTGAGCTCCTGGATCCTAGGTGGATGCTCAGCTGCTGAGCCATGCATGGCCAGGCCCTAACAACATGGTTTTAAGCTGGGTGAGGGCAATGCCAGTTGCAGGTGAAGGGGGCGAAGATATGGCCCTGCAAGCCTGGTTGGTCAGGGAACAAGGTGCTGGGCTGTGGTCTGACCTTAAATCAGGCCTAAAACTTAAAGCAGGTGGAGAAAGGGAGGATCACGTGCCAAGGTCTATCTCACGGCAGCCAAGAAGCTGAGAAAAAAATCAGCTAAATTAAAAAACTGACACTGGACAATTCCAAAGAATATGCATTTCTGAAGGGGGAAAAAGGAGGGGACAAATGCGTCCTCGAGTTGTCATTGCATCTTGTTTAAATACTACACTGAAATTCTACATGAGGCACACAGGCTTAAAGAGTCCGCTCATTGCTCAGGATGGCTGCCACCTGCGGAAACCAAGGACCATGGGCGAACAGGGACCTGCATATTCTGTGCTTGTCAATATGAAATGTTAAGTTCATGGGGAAGGATGCTATTCCTGGACTCAAAAGAGCTACTGTCCAGCCCGGCCAGGCATGGTTCAGCGGTTGAGCATCAACCTAGGATCCAGGAGATCGTGGTTTGATTCCCGGTCAGGGCACATGCCTGGGTTGTGGGCTCAATTCCCAGTCAGGGGTGTGCAGGAGGCAGCCAATCAATGACTCTCTCATCATTGATGTTTCTATCTCTCCTTCTCCCTTCCCATCTCTGAAATCAATAAAGATATGATTTTTTTTAAAAACAAAAGCCAAAACCTACTGTCCAAAGCTATGAATCACACAGATCCAAAGATTGAAGTTTATACACAATGCGTTACAAACTGGAACTGAAAGCTCTGGGTAACAAACCCCACAACACATTCTTCTATCCCTGCGTTCCAAGTACAAAAACTCTCACTGGGAATCCCTTGTCTGTTTTCATTCATAACAGAGCTCCTAATTTCAAAGCCAGGTTTTGGTGTTCACATTCTAAAACTCTCTACAAAAACTACTATAGTGACAACAACTAAAAGAGCTAAATAACTTAGCAAAAGTGAAGCCCGCTAGTTGTCACACCTTTTATAATATTAAAGGCACCTCTGCCTCAGCTAAAAGGCTAAAATACTTCACATTCAGGAATGTGGAGCACATCACATCTCTTCTAAATGAGAAAGTAATAATAATAATGGGGATAAGGGAAACCAAGAAGGCAATGCAAAAATGTAAACCCTCTCAGAGAGTTAACACCCTGGGAGGGAGAACAGAACACCCATACCCTAGTCATCCCAGAAGAAAACGACCTGAAATGCATGTGAAATGGCTTGGATTGTGAGAACACAGACAGACAAACGAGCCTGGGAGCCAGTGTGTGTGGGTGCACTGCTAGAGGTATTAAAATTTTTATTATACAGATAATGCTTATGATTGCACATACGATTACCTAGAGCAGAGTATTACCGTAAGAGGAAGCATGGCAATGTCCTTCCCCAAACACAAAGCCCCATCATCACTGTCAGCGGCTTGGGAGAGCTTGAGATTCTTTCTGAATATGCACCTAAAATAATTTTACACTAATCTCATGTATTTTATTCATTGCTCCCCTTCAATATCAGCTCCATTATAGACACTTAAAAAACTATCTGACTTAAAGAGAAGTGAAATATTAAATAAAAATCACCATTTTAATGACCTACAAGTGGTCAATTAGCCATGTGTTGAAAATACTTCAAATCAATTTAATGGACAAATATAACTGATAAATTGTTATGAAGCACTTCATAAATATAAAGTGTCAAATAAATGGTCTATAATCAGAATCACCATCATTGTAAAAGTACTCTAACAGCCACAAAGTGACCGTAGTGAATCTCTAACATTTTGTCCCCAAGACCGAGAAAGAAAACACTATTACATAAAACTGAAATAACGAGAAATAAGTGCCAGCAGGCTTGCTGTTACTTCAAACGGTAAATGCTCAGTAAGTGTCAAAAACAAAACAAGCAAAAACATAAAATTTAAGACAGTGCAAGGAGATTGAGTGGAACTTTATTCGATGAGACAAATGCATAATTTTGACCAATAATTCCAGGTAGATAATAGTCAACAGATTGTAAACTTCTTTCTTTCGATGTGTAGGGTCTGGAAAAATGGACAATTTACTTTCTGATCTGCTTCCTAATGCCAACTAACTGTCATTACAACAGAATGAAAGCACTCTGGAGAATAAACAAAAGAGCTGCCATGAACTGACATATATTTTTTTGCTCTAAATCCAGAAATTTATATCCAAAGAAAAATAGCAAGAAGGAAAAGAGACTGTTGAAAATGTTAAATATACACTATAAGTTATTTTCCATTCTTTTAAGAATTTGGAAGCTGTGGGGTCTAGTGAATTAAGCAACAAAGATGTCAAGAGTAATGAAATTGAACCCCAGGCACATCCTAATGACTTTGCCGGTTTCTCCACCTATATAAATGAGGAGATTCTTCCTGCTGTCCTCATTAGGTAATTAACGGCTGTAAAGCACTCTGAAAGTACAAACTGCTAAATAAATTACGACTGCCAAAGAATCTTAACTATAATGTGCTAAATAATAATGATAACACATGGGCTCTAAACTTAACCATTTTTGTTTTCAAATTGTTTAACAATGCAAACAAGGCTCCAATCTTAGCATAGTATTAGGTAGTGTGTTCAATTAAGGCTTTCAAAATCACCCAAAAGCTCCCGTTTCTTCAAGAGCAGTTGACTCAACGTCACATGCAGTAATGAAAATAAGGTCACATTCTATTCCTGTAGCTGCATAAATACCATTATTATGCCTGTGTCTACATTTTGGGCAATTCCAACTAGAGGTCGTTGTACTTGAAAACCCACTAAGCAATCAACTTTTTGAGAATGTCCTCTTATTTCAAATTGGAATTCCGAAACCATGGTAATGTTTTCATCCTGGGAATTAAGGACACCCACCTATGACGTTCAGATAAAAATCAGTGCTCTCTACCCTTCCACTCTCCTGAACTATAATACTGATGAGATGTAGGTCTATATCTAAGAACTTTCAATGCATTTTAGACCTGCTTACTGATAAAAAAGGATGAATATATTAGCAGCAATTCTATGACCTTCCAAACTTTCTATTCTAATGGTAGTATGAGCATGTTATAAGATTTAAAATATAGATCAGGAAAGTCAACGTAATTTTATTATTCATATCTAGTCTTATTGTTTTTCCATATATACTTGAAATAACTACTGAGTGCTAGAAACTGGAAGACAATTAAACAAACAAACAAAAAACTCAAATTATTTTAAATCACAGAAAGGAGAAAATCAAATTCATTTCAATTTTTTCTCATTGAAATGTAACATCTAGAAAATATAGTCTTCTATTTAAATCTGAAGTCTGATCAAGGTTCTGCTTACAAAGTACCTTGTTCTGTCACATCTGTACAATTGTAAATAAAGTATAGCTATAAAGAACAGTTAAATACCACTAAACAAGCAAGCCTAAATCCTGTTTATTATACTTTTTAGAGAGATGACTTTCTCTCCAAATATACAGGGGTGGGCAAAAGTTGGTTTACAGTTGTGAGTATGTGAAACACAGTTTATTCTTGTATTATTATTTATGAATTATTGTATTATTCATTTATATTACAACTGTGAACCTACTTTGCCCACCCCTGTATATTTGGAGAGAAAGTCATCTCCAGTTAATAATTTAAGACAAAATTAAACATCTATGAAAGAAACCACAGGGTATCATTCATATTAAAATATACAATTCTATCCTCATAATAACCAAGACCTCAAATACAAGTTTTAGTGACTCATATTAATTTAATTGTGACATTAGCTTTTATAATCATAGATGTAAAAAAAATCACTATGTTCCAAACATAATTATCACGGCAGCATCTCATTTCACGAAATTATTAAATTAAAATGAGAACCTCTGTATGAATTTGTATTTGATTAGTTTCACTTATTTGAGAACACTGAATAATTTAAGATCTGTTTGAATAAAAGGAACATAGGCAGGGCACTTCTGAGAAGTGCAGAGTCTTCTACACTCTGCCATTTCTGAATGAACCCTAGATTCTCCAGATCGGTTACAAACCGTGCATACCTTCCAGGTGAAGCCACATCAATCTCCCCTTCACCCTCACGACAGAGGCCACACAGAGCTCTCCTGGATTCCTGGGGTTTACGGCTTCAAGCTTCATGTTCTTCGTGAAACCCCGACTGAATGACATCTGAAAGAGAGAACTGACACTGAGCCAGGAGATAGCGCAGCAAGACAGCGCAGCAGCAAGGCCAGCCAGCTGATGAAGAGGACATGCACACACAGACCTTATTTATAAGACAAACTGACTGCTCACATGTTTGTCTTTCCTGCCGCTCTTGAGGAAAGAACCATGCCTTCTTCATTTGTATCCCAGAGATTAGGACTCTGCTTGGCACACAGCCGGTGCCTAATAATATGCACTGAATGAGTGAGAGGTTGAATAGATCCTCTCTTTCTAGTTCCATATGCATCCTTTCTCCTACAGAATCACTGGGATACAGATCATCTCTTCTGCTTCCCTAGATTCCTCACCAACATCAGACCTGGGCACATCTAAGGGTGTTGAAGGAGAGAAATTGGGTCTCAGCCTGGGATCATCTTCCTACAGCCTGAAGAATGTCCTTTCGCACATCTTTTGGTGCACGTGTGCTGGTGATGAATTCCCAGTTTTCCTTTATCTGAAATTATCTTTATTTTGCCTTTCTGCTTTTTCTTATTTTTATTTACCTTCTAAATGCACATTTTTTTAAATTTACATACAGGGAAACTCACTCTATTTGGTCACTGTTTTATCAGGGTAAGGCTGTTAGATAAATGCATACAGCCATACAGCCCCACCCACAATCGAGATACAGAACAGTACCTTCACCTCGCAAACTCCTTGCACTGGCCTTTCGGTAATCAATTCCTCCCAGGCTCCCAATTCCTGGACCACCGATCTGCTTTCTTTCCTGTAATTCCACCTTTTCCATAATGTCATATAAATGAAATCATAAACTCTGTAGCTGTTGAGTTTGGCTTCTTCCAACTAAGCAAAATGCATTTGAGCACCATCAACACTATTGCAGGAATCAGTAGTTCATTCTGTTTTACTGTTGAGTAGTTTCTGTAGCTATCCGATACGATAGTTTGTCCATCCATTTATCAGTTGAAAGACATCTGACTTGTTTACAATTTTTAGTGATTGTGAATAAGGCCAATATAAACATTTAAGCACAATTTTTTATGTGAATATAAATATATTAGCCTGTTCCGGTTGCCGTAACAAAATGCCACAGATCTGGTGGCTTAAACAACAGAAATTTATTATCTCACAGTTCTGGAGGCTGGAAGTCTGAGATCAGAGTGTCAGTGGAGTCAGTTTCTTCTGAGGCCAATCTCCTTGGCTTGTAAATGGCTGTCTTCTCCCTGGGTCTCCACATGTTCTTTCCTCCATGCATGTGGTGTGTGTTTTAATCTCCTCTTCTTATAAACACACTGGTCATATTGGATTAAGGCCCACCCCTGTCACCTCATTTTACCTTAATTACCTCTATAAAGACTCTACCTCCAAATACAGTCACATTCTGAGGTCCGGGGAGTTAGGACTTTAAAACATGAATTTTGGAGGGACATAATTTAGCCTATAACTCTGTTTTCATTTCTCTAGAAACAGGATTGCTGGACTATATGGTAAATGTATATTTCTAAAAAACTGTCAAATTATTTTCCAGTATATCATTGTGCATTCCCATCAGCAGTGTACAGAGTTCCAGTTGCTAAACACACTCACCAATTGATACTTCCAGTTTTTCTCATTTTAGCTAGTCTTATAGGTAAGTCTAATGGCATCTCACTGTGGTTTTAACTTGTATCTTCCCTGTGACTAATGATGCTAAGCAGCTTTCACGTTTGCCATTAGTATATCTTTGGTGAAGTGTCTATNTTTTAACTTGTATCTTCCCTGTGACTAATGATGCTAAGCAGCTTTCACGTTTGCCATTAGTATAGTATATCTTTGGTGAAGTGTCTACNCACGTTTGCCATTAGTATATCTTTGGTGAAGTGTCTATTTTTACCTTCATTCTTGAATTACATTCTTACTGGATATAGAACTATAGGTTGTTGTTTTTTTCCTTTCAGCACTCTAAAGAAGTTGGTTCACACCCTTTTGGCCTCTGTTGTTTCTGATGAGAAGTTTGTTATTTTTCAAACTATTATTCCTCTATTTGAAATGTATCATTTTTCTCTGGAAATTTTCAAAATTTTTCTCTCTATGTTTGGTTATCAGCAATTTGACTACATTGGGTCTTTTTTGTTGTTTTTTTTTTGTATTTTTTTGTATTTACACTACTTGGGGTTCACAGATTCCTGAACCTGTAAATTTAGATCTTTCAGCTACTTTGGTTAATTTGGGACCATTATTTCTCCATACATTTTTTCCTTCCACCTTATCTGTGCCCACTTCTTCTGGGTCTCCAGTTACACACGAGATTGTCCCTCAAATCCTCGAGATTCTCTTTATCTTCTTCCCAACCCCAGCCAATCTTTTTTTTCTCTGTTCTTCAGCTAGAATAATTTATATCTTCAATTTCATAAACCCTTTGCTCGTTCATCTCTATTCTGCTATTAAGCCCTTCTAATGAATTTGCTTATTTCAGATACGTATTATTGTATTTGTCAGTTTTAGAATTTCTCTTTTTTATACTTCTACTTCTGTTCTGGCACTNTAAACCCTTTGCTCGTTCATCTCTATTCTGCTATTAAGCCCTTCTAATGAATTTGCTTATTTCAGATACGTATTATTGTATTTGTCAGTTTTAGAATTTCTCTTTTTTATACTTCTGTTCTGGCACGTCCTAGCTTTTCATTCAGTAGGAGAATGTTTCCCTTTAACATCTATGCTTCTAAGACTTTAGAGTATATCAAAATCACTTGGAAAGCCTTTTAAAAACATAGACTGCTGGTCCTCATCCCAAAGTTTGTGATTCAGTTTATTTGAAGTGGAGCCATTTGTATTTCCAACAAGTTCCCAAGTGCTGCTGAAGGAGCTGGCCTTAGAACCACATTAGTGGAACCAGTGCTTTCCACTAATGAGCTTAGTTATGATGGGGCTTTAAAATACTTGTCTGCTACCAACATCTGGGTCATAATGGGTTTGGTCTCTGCTGATAATCTTTTACACTAAGAATGAAGCAAATTTTCCTATTTCTTCATACATTGAGCAGCTTTGGATTGAAATCTGGATGTTTTAAATGTTATGTCGTAGAAACTCTGGATTATGTTATATTCCTCCAAAGAGTTGCTTTTTCTGTTTCAGCAAGCAAATAACTTGGTTGGACTCAAACTATACATTCTTATCTCTTGAGAAGCAGCTCAAATCTTAGTTTAGTTCTTTCATGCTTAGCTACTAGGCTGCTTGGAGTTTGCCTGGCAAATACATGGTTTGGGGGTTTATACACAGAATTTGTGGTTCCTCCTCTTAGCTCTCCTGTCTGTGACTCCTCTTACTTTCAAGTAGCTGTGGTTGCCCAAATTCTGTTATGTGTTCATAAGGCCAGAAAGATTATACATTTTATATCACTGTTTTAGTTATCGCGTATGTTGTCAACCACGGCTGACCTCAGGCCACTCATCTGAAAATTTTGGGATGGTCTTCCTTTCTTCTAAACGCCTGTTCCCTTCCAGAGTCTGCCTGCTTTTGTTTATTTTCCACATCTTTCAGTAGCCATTTTTATTCTGTCCAGTGTTTAGTTGCTATCTTTGGAAGGATCAACTCAGTATGAACTTATTGGAAGCAAAATTCACTTCTAAATAAATATAATATAAAATTTTCCAAAATCACCCACTTCTATAAATTTTAACCAGACATTACAATACTATGTAAATATATCTATTTTGAATATATAAACTGGATAAACAAGTTCCTGTAAAGTAACATATTACATCTCTTTGTTATGTAAGGAAACCAAGGTAATTCACATTTACATGTGTCTTTTTATATAAGTTAAGTTGAAATGAAAGTCTACCTTTATGTAAAAGAGCAAAATTATCCAATGTATGCTAAGAGACCAATTTGCTCCTTTCCTTTACGTTTCCTTGGAAATTGGAATCAAAGCTACTCTATTTTCCTTCAAGTCATACTAACTTATCCACGCATGTTATGTATTGAGCTTCTTTCTGATAATACAACTCGATAGGGTGCCTGAAAAGTCTCTAAGTAAGTTAAAATGCATTTTATCCTACTTAATAAGGAAAAGCTACAACCGCATAACCTATTTTAGTTTCAACTCACTGCCAGAGGGTAATTTATAAAGGATCAATGGCAAAACCGTTACCTGTGAGTTTATTTTACTAAGCATTTGGCTGTGTCAATCCATTTCAGAACTGCCTGTGATTGTTAAACATCCTCAGGGAAATGTTGCCCATGCATCCATCTCCAAACTACCTCTCCTCTGCTATACATGAGATGTGTGATTTAAAAATGAACTCATAATAGGCATTTCATTAAAGAGCACTGTAACAAGCTAATAAAATTCAACAAAGTACCAGTAATGCAATGCATACGTCAACAGGCAGATAACAATCCTGTCGATTAAATAAATGAGGAGCCAGAAACAAAGGGGGGTCATATTTGTAACAAGTGCATCCCTAATGAATACACCAATGTACTTACTAGAACAGATTTAATCTCAGTAGCTAAATCCTAAAAGCTCAGAGGCCACCTGGGGATGTGGCTACTTGCTCCACTATTAAAATGCATTTGGAAAACAGCTGGCTGAATAGGACCAGAAAACAGATAAAAAGAAACCTTGGTAGAATGATGTAGAACAGAAGAAACAACTCCTTAAATACAGAACTAAAGGAGATGTGAGGATTTTCTTCCCAAAGCTAAAGAATCAATGGAAGATTTTTCTTGTCAGGTAGAAAGCACAAAGTAAAGGGGTTTGGGGATGTACTGGAGTGTTTCCATGATCCTAAATGAAAGGCCGTAAGGCCAGGAGATTTTGTCACAAGTAAAAAGTTTAATAAGACTGCACTGGACTTCATAAGCTTTGAGTGCTAACTGGCTGCTGTCCTCATGGTGGCATGATTACAAAGCTGTCCCTTTCATACCACCTAACACTCACCATACAGTTCTTTCAAGGCTGCAGAAGAACTACTTTTGTGCAAAGGCAATGCCATCCAGATAGAAAGTTCGTTTAATCATTTACAAAGCTTTGGTTTCCACTCTGCTACTGATTTGTTTCTGTTTTTAGGAGTACAAGTTGACCTAGTAATCAACCTACTTAATTCTCCAAAACCCATTTTTTATGTTCAGTATTGAGTTTCTCTCTATTAAGTCAACCCTTTCCTCCTCTGAGTTCTCATATTCTGTTACCCTGCCAAACAAATTACAGGTGGGGTCACAGTGAATTAGCAACAGTAGGAGCACATGTCTAGAAAACAAGTCTTTGGCTTGGAAGCACTTTGCACTATAGTATCTGCAGTCCCCAACTGGAAGACTGCGTCTTTTTTCTTAGCATAAGGAATTAACTTTCACCACTAAATGCATGCTCAACACACTAGACTATATTGTACATTTATGCCTCATTCTTAAATCAGAGATAATAATCTGTGTCCCTTTTCATAGTTCCTAGGGTTGATGAAGTTTAAATGAATAATTTATAAACTATGAATACAACCAACTCCTGTAACTAAGCAAGTACACACATGTATGAACACACACAGACACACGCTGCTGTTTTATTTGTCACAAAAATCCTACTACTATGCCAATAAGTTCTGTTTGAACAAGGTAGGGACTTCAAGTAAGCAAAGCAAAGTACAAAATTGATGAACTAGCATCCTACTAAAATAATCCAGGACAAAAAATTTAAGATCATATTTTAAGAAGATTCCTCAGGTGCAGAGAATCTCCTATTGATGGGCTTATCAATATTTCACTCCATAGCAGGTGTAAAGCTTTTGGTGCACAGGTGGCTAGCTGTCCATCAAAGTTTGTCCTTCTACAGTCTGGAATCATGACTGAGGAACAGGAGCCCAGCCAGGGCACATCCTAGCCTCACTCCTGGCCTGGTGCAGCTGAGTGATTCTCACCAACAGAAAGTGAGTAGTGTGTGTCAACGCCAGCTATCTTAGAACTAGTGCTGTCTTCTCCTGGATCTCTTTTCCTAACTGCTCAAACAATTCAGGGGATGAAACCAAAACATATTAAGCCCAAGGCTCACCACAATGAGAACTGTCTGGAAATCAGGAACACCCTGGACCCTTCCCTCAGTGAGAAATAAATGTACGGCATGTTCGAGCCACTATCCATTCAGTACTCAATTTGTTACTACATCCCAGAATCATTCTAATATACAAGCTGAAAGGAGGACTNCAATTTGTTACTACATCCCAGAATCATTCTAATATACAAGCTGAAAGGTTTCAAAACCTGTGGAAGTTTTAGGATCCCGTGGAACACAGAAGCGCTCAAATCTTGCTCAATAAATAGAAAGCAATTGATAAAACGTATGGTGAGCAACAGCTAAGGAGCAGCAAGAAACAAGAGTCTTACATTTTTGAAGCAGAAAGGAGGTGCTTCCTCTGTTCCATGCTGCTTGTGATAATCTGCCCAGTCAAAGTCCTGGCCGGAGTAACCTGTGCGGGAAAACATGACAAAACAGCATTAACACAGCAAAACCTCAGACAAGCGAACAGCTTCATGGTGTGTCACCAGGGAAAAACAAGGGCGCAAGGGTAGGTCCCCAAAATGCTAAGTCCTTTCTTAGGCTGACAGCACACTGGATTTTATGAGGGTTGAATAAAGTGTTTTGAAAAACGTGAAGTGCTGCATGCAGGTAAGGTGCCCCGTTAGCCGCACAACGCGGTGCCCAGCACCAGGTGACGCGGGTGCATTTACCGACGTCAGCACAGGGCGCTGGGCAGGTCTGCTCTGGGGAGAATAAATGAAACTGAGGGAGGCGCTGAGAAACAACTCTTCATACATGGTGCATTTAATTAAATACAGGTCTTACCAAGGCAGTTTTATCCTTTATTCATTTCANATTGCGGGGGGGTGGGGGGGTGCAACTATAAAGCACTCGTCCATCTAACCACCACGAGACATGGGAGAAGGTTAGGAACGGCACTGGGGGTATGGCTCAACCTAGACAGGAAAATGCATCTTAATATGAGCATCTGCGCTTCCCGTGAAAAAAGGATGGTGATGGGAATGAAACACACAGGCGCAATTAGGATTCATTGAAACTGTACAAAATGCCCCTATACTCTTCACTTAGTGTTTTCTCTTTATTGGTTTAAATGTATGTAAGATGCACTTAGGTATATTTTTGATGCATAAGAAATTAAGGAAATTTCTCTCCCCCTCCCCATATTGTCATAAGTTTATACCTGCAAGTTCACCTAACATGGGACCTTAGTTACTAAACCCCACAGTGGGCAGAGTGACTACGGAAATTCTCTACGAAAGCAACTCAAGATACCGGTTGCCTCCTATCTCCATCTGTACTCACAAGTACAAAATAATATTCTTTTCATTAAGTGAGCTCAATTTACCCAACTTCTCTTAAGATGGGGGTGAGAGGATTAACCAAGAAGGCAGCTGTTTTCCTCGGGCCCAGGGACTGACCCTTGACCCTCCCAGGCCCTGCCCTCCCTCAGTGGCAGAGGTACCCGCTTCCCCGTAAGATAGCCCTCTCGTTCTATAAAGACCAGCAGTTCCTCATTTCTTTCCAACAGGAGGCGGGGAGTCCGGGAGCTCTGAGATGCCACGCACTCCTCCTCCCTCGCTGCTTCTGAACAGGTCCTGCACACCTTCCAGCTGCCCTTCCCCCGCCGCTCTCCAGAGCTGTCCCTCCAGCCAAAGGCTCTTGCATCAGAGGTTTCCGGAAGGGACCAAACCAACTTTCTTCTGAACATTCATAAGCAAAACAAAACGTGTCTTAAACAAGGTAATGCAAGTTTCTGTGCAAGTTCTACAACCCACCACTTTAAGAGTAGCAGTCTGTCTGGAACTGTTTGGGATCAAATACTCACAACAATGCATAAGAACAGAATTCCCCAAAAGACACCTCAAACTGGTGGGAAGTTGCCTCACAGTACAAAGGGTATTGAACCAGAAGGGAGACTGGTTTTAGACTCAGTTCTTTCAGGAACTAGATGGACCAGGGTAAGAGTAAATTAAACCTTCTATGTGATTCACAAATTATCTACTAATACACAAAATAAAGAGAAGATATTTAAAGTCTCCTCTAGCTGCTGCAGTCCACGATTCAGAGCCACCATTACTAACAGTTTACTGATGCTACTTAGGATTTTTTTTTTCCTTCGCACTGTGGTTAATGCCCTTTTCTTGTCCTAGGAGAAACATGTGGCAGGATTGACAAACAGAGGTTATGTAACAAGGTGCCCTAAACAAGCTCTCAACTGAACAACTGAAGGCAAGATGACTCCCTGCAAGAGAAGGGCCCTATTTGTTTCGGGGTGTGGCCAGTCAACTCCGTTAAAGTCAAGATCTCCTGTTCCCTAGATCTCTGCCACCTCCTCAGTTAATTTTGTGAATGAGGAAATCTCATCAGGGCCATGAGGGAAGGGGAAAATAAGAAAAAACCCTATATAAATGAATAGTCAACTATGTTCTGAGACCACATGACATATAAGTGTTCTTTATGGTCAATATCTGTTGAGCTAAAACTTTTCAACTTCGAAGTCGCCTCCACTTCTGCAGACATTGAAGCAGGGTTTTCTACAGTCACGTCCAAAAACAGCAATCTCCAATGGGCTTCAATCCACTCCATATAATGCCAGGCTCCGTGGTTTCTTGGACCAGCACTCAATCCTGTACATCCAGTCTTCAAGACTATGGGGAGGCATTTTTAATCTAACAATTTCAAGAAATAACCAAGTCTTGCTGAGTCCGTAAGCAACAATTAATTATTCTGCCCCTAGAACTCTCTCCTTTCGCTGAACAGCCAAGACTCCTCCTCCTTCTCTTAGGGACCTTTATTCACTTCATCACTTAAAATTCTTTTCCTTCGGGCTGATAATGAGCTCTCTTTGTAAGGCAGTTTTGTGACAGCTCAGAAAATAACTGCTACATAAAAACAAATTGCTGTGGCTTGTATAATAGAGACAACAGGGGTCAATTATACTCATTAATCAACAAAGACAGAACAAGAAGTACTAAGGCTTAACTGCAGCCAGGAAAACATGTTTTAAACCCGGGAGAGAGGGGAACAGCAGAGAGGAAAAGAAAATGAAGGGAAATCAAAACCCCTTGGGCTATTAAAATTTACAGCAAGCTGCCATAGGAGACTGTTGAACCACAACCACCAGAGTTATTTCAGCTTTTATTAGTGTTCATTCTGAATGAAGTTCCAACTGTTACAGGTCCAAAAGAGAACGGGTCGATGACCCATTTCCATATGACACAAATTAATTGACATAAAACAGCTCTACTCGCGAACATTGCTATTGGCAGTGCAAGTAGACGATTCCTTTAGAAAACAATTTGGCAGTAAAAATGTTCATGAGCTTTGACACAATTGCATTTCTAGGAATTTATCCCATAAAAACAACCTTAAAAACTGAAAAAGTGTTATACATTAGGATACAATGACATTATGACTGATAATATGGGGAAGGGGGCGGCTTTGCATCCAAATACAGGAAATGATACGAAATGCATCCACGTCCACAGAAAGTCATGCAGACATGAAATTGCACCTAGTTTGTTTTTCAAAAAAAGTCATGAAAAATTATTGCTATGGTTTTAATTTTTTAATGTGTGTTTTTAAATTGATTTCAGAGAGGAAAGGAGGGGGAGAGAGAGAAACATCAATGAATAGAGTCATTGACAGGCTGCCTCCTGCACGCCCCCTACTGGGGATCGAGCCAGCAACCCAGGCATGTGCCCTGACCGGGATTCCAACTGTGATCTCCTGGTTCAGGGGTGGATGCTCAACCACTGAGCCACGCCGGCCAGGATGATGGCGATGGTTTTAGATGAAAAGATTGGTATAAACATATACAGAATCACCTTATTTATATTCAAAATATGCAAAGAAAAGACCAGAGGCAATGTTACGAAAACTTAACGGTAAATATCAAAGTAATTATCTGCGTGGTGGGGCTCCTGGATACTTTTTTCTCTTATCTCTTTGCATTTTACAAGTTTTCACTAATGATCAATAATAAAAACTATTTGAAAGCATGGCATCTTTGCTTTATTTTATAAGATAATCAAGGCACTGGTCAATCAATCCAGGGTGATTTAGTACATGGACTACACCATGACTAACCTCCCCACAGCTATCCTCTCCCTTCTGGTGGTACCCAGTTCCCACAGGAAGGCAGGTCTCTCCTCAGTACCAGGAAGTGAATCAGGAAAACCCTGAGATAATCACGGGGTCAGGCCCCTTACCAGTGACTTGGGATGGAGGGGAGGGGAAGGGTTACAAAATATAGCTCCCTCTCTAATAAAAGAGAACACCTGAGTAAAAGCTGCTCTTTTATGCTGCATGGATATGGCAATAAAATTGTACAATCTTAATAAAAAATAAAAACAGCAAAAGAATATCATGTTTGCCATCTCCCTGACTGGCAAAATGAAAAACAGTAATATGAATCTGCCACTGTAATAAGTGTTGGAAGCAGATACTTTTATGCATTTCTGGTTGATATCTATTTTGAAAAACCATTGCAGGTGCCAACTTGGCAACATGTGTCAAAAATTTTAAGAAGGTGTCTATTTCTCCACCCTAGCCATTTGTTCATTTATATATTCATTCATTTAGAAATATTTAGTAAGTGCATGCTATATGCTAGGCAGGGTTCCAACGCTAGAGATACAGAAATGAACAAAACCAACAAGAATCCTTACCTTCACAGAGCTCCTCTCACAGATGTGAGAGGCAGATAGAACACAAATATAAATAATCAGATGATCACAAGTGCTATAGAGAGAAAGTGGACAAGAGGCACAGGGAGGGCTGCGTCAGGAAGGCCGTAACGAAAAGTTGGAATGTACAGGAGTTGTGGAAGCGAATCATGCGGCTGCAAGAAGAAAGGGTGTGCCAGGCAGAGGGACCAGCAACCACAAAAGCAAAATTCTACCAAAAGATGCAGGTTATAAAAAGATACTAAAATAAAATGTCAATTTCCCTAAATTAATCTATAAATCCAATGCAATGCCAATTAAAATCCAATAGGGTTCTTTTTTAGAACCACACAAACTGATTGTAAAATTCATGCACAAAAATAACCAAGATAATTTTGGAAAGGAATAAGAAGTGGAAGGATTCACCTAATAGATATCAAGGCTTATTATAACGTAAAATCAACTTCTTGTGCAGGGTTGGACAAGCAGATCGATGAGACAGAATAACTAAGACTAAGAAAAGGTTCGCACCCTTAAAGGGACTTGATATGTGCCAGTGGCGGCAGTGCAAAGCAGAGAAACACTAGACTATTCAACTAATGATGCTGAGACAACTGGTGAAGTTGAAAATCCAGTTCAAGCAAAAAAGATTTTTTTAAATAAAAGTTTTCTTTTCTAGTGGCATACAAAAATTCCAAGTAAGTTAAAGAGTTAAATATGGAAAACAAAACTACAAGACATTTACAGGAAATACAGAAGA